AATTCTCATTGAAGTTATTACTCGTTTGATGTATTAAAAAAACACTTACATATTGAATGATTCACAGTCAGAACAGAAGTCTCCTCTCATAGGTAAGACTCATTTTGAATCTTCTGCTTGGTTTATTATTGGTGGAAGATGATGTAATTGTGTGCATTTGTTTCAAAGAATCTCATGAACAGCTAAATGGATTTTAATGAAACTCACAAAAACTCATTCTTAGATGGAAAACCGTCAGTTAGCTCAGTAGAAGATGGCTGCCATGGCAACTGGCTTAAAAAAAAAATACAAAAATGGCTGTAATTTAGTTTATTTGATATATGTTGACCTGAATTTGGTGTAAGTCACAAAACACTGCACTCCAGGTGCTAATCACTGCACAAGAGCTTTAACACTTTAGTATTAACAAATAGAGCAAACCCTGACGGTCTGTTAGCATAAAATATCATGGACCACTGGATAGGTTTTAATGAAACTCTCAGAACATAATTATTAGATGTCTACAACTCATTATAACTTTGAGTCAGTTCAGCTCAAGATAACCACCACAGCTAATCAACCATAGCCAACTCAAATATGGTTGTAACTCATTTACCCGACATTGACCAAAAATTTAGTGTAGAAATAGCTGAGTCATCCCCTACACCAGTGGCTCTCAAAATGGGTTCCCCGGACCCCCAGGGGTTTGCGAGCCAACGCTTGGGGATCAACAAGAAAAAAAAAGAAAAAAAAATATATATATATATATATATATATATATATAAATATATATATATATATATATATATATTATTATTGTTATAATTATTATTATCTTCTCTTTTTTTTACAAGCACATAGATGTTTAACAACCTGTTAAATTACGCCAAAATGCAGGAAATCACATCTATTTTATTCAGAATTTTCTTTGGGAGGAACCTGCCCTCCATTTTTGTTCCAGCATCGATCGGTTTACAAATTAAGCCCAGTTACTTGGTATGACTACTGCTGTTATGACTATGTTCAGTTTATGTAGTTTTTTGTGGTAATTTTGAGTTCACCACTTGCTCTCGACGATATCGGATGCTTCTCCCCTCCCTCTCTGCTTTGCTTTGCTGCTCTGCCTGTCTGTGAAACTGCTGTGAGCCTCTCTTGCATTTCTTCCGAACCATAATTATGTACTGTTTTAATCAGTCGGTCCCTCAACTCAATTTACAACATTTTCTTCGAAGAGAAGACAGGCTTTAGGTGAGCCAATTTGCCCTGTTGGCACATACAGTTAGATATCTCATCGACTGGAAGACTTGATGATGTGTCTATCTCTGCTGCCATTTGTGGATTTTAAGGACACATATTTAATTGGATTTTCGATAACTGGTTCCTGTTTTTTTGGATTTGGCTGTTTGCTGGTTTTATCTACAATTAAGGAAGTCGTCAGCAGCAAATTTGGACCCGATCATGCTGCTTGCCTTTATGATGGCTTGGTTCGTGTCTCGAGTACCCGGACTCAAATGCTTTGGGCTAAATGGATCAGATCTTGGGGATTTTACTCAGTCACGTTCCATCAGTGTGGCCATGTATTTTGGACATTTCGGAACCAAGTAGACCAACACAGACTCGAGGTAGATGTCATTAAGTTCTGCCTGTCCCCAAAACAACTGTGTGTTTAAATTTGGTTCCCTTGGCTGGCCTTGAAGGCCATCTTATCTGAATTTGCCTGGAGAAAATGTGATCTGACGCTCAACACCCCCTCCCTGAGGAATTTCCAACCGATAACCAGATGGAACCAGCTGAATAAACTTTGTGTCATCATTTCAGGACTCTTGGATTCTCATAGACGTTATTCTTGGCCATTCCTCGACATACCTCGAGAATGTTTATGGATCTCACCGGAGGACATTGACTAATTATCTTATCCGAACTCTTACAGTGATCTCGAGAGCATCTATAAGCATTGTTGACCGCTCTCCTCTCCGATTGCAGAATGTCTACGTAAATATGTGCTTGTTTGTGCGAGGTGGTTTTTTTTTTTTAATATATTAGAGGTTTTTTTTCCTCAGGCAAGAAAAAAAAAGTCTGATAGGAATTTTTTTTTCACCTCCAACTCCTACGTGTCCAGTTAACTGCTGTTTTTTGTCTGTCCAAACAGGTCTCACTTGAAAATAAATGAGTCTTCGAGGCTCAGTGTGATTGATCTGTTTAAATAAGGGTCGAATGAATGAAGAAGTCTAAGTGTTTATTGATGCTGTTAATTTTCTCAAAACTGTAATTTATGGAAGTTGAAATTAAAAATGTTGTTAGTTAAGTGTATCTTGAATGAAAAAAATCCATGTTTAAATGTATAAAAATGTTATTAACACTATTAAAGAACAAGTCTTAAGTATTTATGTTACACAAATATTTCATTTTCATTAAAGAGACAGATTGAAGAAAATTATTTAATCAGCATGAGGGTTATGAGGGGGGCCCTGAGACTTTTTCTGCCCTTTAGGGGTCCCTGAACCCAAAAAGTTGGAGAACTCCTGCCCTATATATAGTTTGAAGACTAACAGATCGTATGATACACATCAGAAATGCTACTTTATCTTATATCTACAGTTCACTGATCAATCTAAGATAGTGTTTTGGTAAAAGGGTTAGCAATAAACGTGAAACTATGTTACAGTTTACATTGAAACCATGTTTAATTTTGTGCTACAGTTCATATGTATTTAATAAGGTTGCATGCTTGTAAACCTGAACTAATTGAACAGTTCTGACAGGTTAGCAGTAGAACACCTGCACACGACTGAAGCGCATGCAGCTTTATTCATAAAGACAGTGAGCCCGTAGGCCTGCGCTGCACTCACGGAGCGCTGCTGCCAACTGTTACTACATCTGCTGCATCCAAGTCCGGATGATATCATCCACGCTCACGTCTGGATTTCTGTTCTGCTGGATGCTCGAGCCTCTGCAGGCGAGCCGGCGTCGACCTTTGGGTGACAGCTTTGCTCTTTCCGCACGCCTCGCCTCTTAATGATAAAACGAGGAAAGTGGGTCGGACCTGTACATTCCCACCAGAAATAGTGGGAAGTTAACATCTTCAGCTGAGCACCAAGATTTCCAACTGGGAAATCATCTCTAAATAAATCAAATGAGTTTCACAAATAGGTGAGGAGCCTTTGGGAGAGCCAGGTTTGCTCCTGGGAGGAATGAACAAGTCTGGATGATTAACTGAGAAATGAATGACCTGCTCGTGGATCCGCTACAAACCTACTTGAGGACTCAAATGACTCTAAATTAAATGATATTTGGTGTGTTGGGTCCTTTATAGAGACAGCTGTTGTTTTAGGATATTTATTGTTTCTTCTCAAGGAGCAAAATGAAAAAAGAAATGTTCATTTCTGAACCAGAGCTTGAGTGAAGACAATGTTCAGGATCTTGTGCATGATGTGTGGACGTTAAAGAAAACTAAAACTGCATAATAAAGATGTCAATGTCCATCAAAGTGAGCTTCTGCAGATGTGTGAAAATAAAATTGCAGAAGAAAGAAATATATCAGACATGTTGGATTTCTTGCTTACATCGTTTTTCTGTTTTTATTTTTCGCTATATTTATTTGTAATCTTACTATGTACTTCTGCATACTTTGTGCTTTTTTAGCCATTCATATATGTCAGACTTTTTGGTCAAAGGTTATGTAGATTTTTATTAATATGGTTGAGAACAAGAAGTCCAAGACAATCACAACCATCTCCCAAAACATTCTTATCTCTGCCCATGAACCATATGTTTGAGTTAACAGAGAGCACTGGGTGAGGCTGCAGCTTTTTCCAAGGACACCTCCTGAACTCTGTTAACTTGGATGAACTGACAAGGGTATAAAAATGAGCAGTTAATGCAGCTCAGGTTAAGATTTTTATGACTGGTCTTCATGCGTCAACATTTTATATGTATTTATGTAACCGGTCCTCAAAATCTGATGTTACAAGTAAAATATGGTTAAAAATCTTCTCCTGCTGTCGAGTCTGGTTCTTTTGGGTAAACAACGTAAGTGAGAATGTTTTTCTGCAACAATATATCAAAATAACAAAGTCCATGCTCAATAATCCAGTTATACAATCCAACATTTTTCAGTCAGGTCATCTGGACAGGTTCTTTTTTTTGTGTTGAAATGTTTCTCCTTCGATCCAGAAGGCTTCATCAGTCAAGGAAACACACAACACAAACTGATTCTTCCCCCAACCGCTTACTCCAAAGTGGAACAAACCAGAATATATCATGGAATATATGAAAACATTCAGCTCATTCAGATGCTTTTTTAATTATTTTTTACATTTCATTTCTTCAATTTACTTTTCATTGTATATGCTTCTATGTGAAGCTTTCTATTGTTGCCTGTATCTCATCTGTGTTCTTTGTCTAAAACAGGTTTCTCCTGTAAATGAGTCCTCGAGGCTCAATGAGACTAACCTGTAGAAATAAAGGATGAATTGAATTGAACCGTTACTTTGGTTTTATTGATTTATTTTATTATTATTTTTTTTTTGTATTATAGAAATACATTAAGATCTCAAAATCCTTCAAAAACTTTCTCTTGGGAATTTGTTTCAGCATTTTACGTAACTTTTTGTTTTTAGCCATCCGTTTCTACTTTTAGCCTTAGTTTTTGTTAGTCTTTTGCTACCTTTACGTTTTAGCTAAAATTTTGCCACTTTTGTCTTTCAGCTACTTTTGGACTTCTTTTATGTTTTACCTTGTGTTTAATACTTTTAGCTAGAATTTTTGCTTCTTTCTGCTTTAGCTGCTCTGGTAAAGCTTCCTTACCAAATTTCCGCACTAATTCAGTAGGCTGCACGTTTTTTTTTTTTTTTCATTCAACATTTATTTCTACAGGCTAGTCTCTTTGAGCCTGAATGACTCATTTACAAGAGAGACCTGTAACAGACTTCAGCAGAAAATATCAATAAAAACGTATTTCTTTAGAAACCATTCTTGTGTTGATGTCGGCATGCTGGATAAAGAACAATGCTGAAACTCACCAGAGTTGGGGTCTGAGTTGCCGTCGGCTTCGGTCCTCTTGTCGGGGGAGGCCTGCTCGTAGAAGTCATCCTGCGCCTGCACCAGAGGGAGAGGTTGTGTAAGGAGAGAGCCACTGCCTACAGGCTCGTGGTCCCCCAGACCGCTGTCACTGCAGCTCTCCTGGGAGCCGTCCGGCAGGTGAAACGTGACGCGCCGCTGGGACTAGAACCAAGAGCACAAAACAGAGCTCTGATGTTAGCGCTCTGCTCTGCCCCCTCAAACTGTTTCTCACCGTGTTGCTTCATGCTCTGAACTGAACGGGCTCACACGGGTCCTGAACAGGACCGCGGTGTGAAAGAATTTACTCTGAACGGTGTAAAACCACGTCTATGCCAAATGACTCCTTTGTTAAAGGTCTAGTTTGTCCTGTGCCAGATATCGATGGAAGGGCAGTTCAGACATTGTAAATACAGTCACGTTTCACTGCACAATGACAAGCAACAACAACAACATGCAAATTCACATCGTGTACCGTTCCAAAAATTAATCAAGGTGAGAAGTGTAAAGTTACATCTCTTTCACAAAGGCCCACAGTAATTAATGTGTGGCATAATTAATGAAGGACATGAAATATATGTTGCTGGATGAATGCATGAACATTTACTACTTCGGTTTGTGCTGTCAGTTTGTTTTGGTGTTTGGTAATGATACGTAGATTACTCTGCAGAGTTAGAAGAAGTTGGGCCCAAGAGTGTCCTTCTCAAATTTTGTTTTCTGGCTCAAGGAAATGATTTGCTTTTTTTATTTTTTATTTTTTTTATTTAGACAGGCTATATAAAACAAACCATGCATGCAAAATGGAAAAATAACAAAAACAACAGAGGCACAAGCCAACCATCCTTAAAGCCATTCTGACTGAATTCCCAATTGTTAATACTGAGTGTCTTCTCCTCATCCTCTAATGACATTTTCCTTGGGCATTTTCGTAAGTCCAGACACAAGCCTGCAGCTAACCTTTTGTTAGCAAAGAGAGGTCCCTGCCACATCCTCCGTGATGACAGACAGAGGAGGGTTTTACAGTAATTATCGGCAAAGGCAAAGGTCAGCCAATCTGCAGTCTAATGCAAATGACCTCATTATATATTTTAGAACTGCTCCGAAAGCATCCAACATTCAATTAAACAAAAAGGGAGAGGAGAGAGTGAAAAAAAGGGGTGGTGGTGAGATGGGTGGGGGTTGGGCAATTGCATTCGGCAGTGAAAGAAATGATGATTAGACTTCAGTAAAATGGGTGTAACATGATGGATAGGTGGATGAATTGCAAAAGATATATATATATATATATATATATATATATATATATATATACAGACCCTTTCCAAAAAATTAAAACATCATGGAAAAGTTGTTTAACTTCCATGATTCCATTCAAAAAGTTAATATTTAATAGATGATAGATTTATTAGGCCCACACTTTAAACGATTTCAAGTATTTATTTGTTTATGTTTACATAATTTGAGCTTCCAGCTCATTAAACCCACGAAAACAGGAATTTAAAAAAATAGTATACTGTGGAGAAATCAGCCCAAATGTTGCAGGGCATGAATGTTTTAAACTGAGTGTGACACACTTATCATCTAATAAACTAAAAGCACCCACACAGGTTTCCCCAGGAGTCATTAAATTACTTCAGTTTGGTTCAATTGTCTCAGTTCGGTTCAATATGGGGAAGACTGCAGACATAACAACTGGCCAGAAGACCATCACTGATACCTCTATAGGATGGGTAAGCCATAAAAGTTCATAGCTAAGGAGGCTGGCTGTTCACAGAGTGATGTGTCCAAGCACGTCAATGGAAAGTCTAGTGGAAGAGCAAAATGTGGCAGGAGAAGATACACCAGTAAAAGAGATGACTGTGGGCTTCAGCAGATTATCAAACAGAAAAGATTCCAGAATCTGGCAGAGATCCAGAAAGAGTGGAATGAGGCGGAAGTCACAGATTCAAAAACCACCATATTCAGACGCATCTGGGAGATGGGCTACAACTGTCGGCTTCCTCGGGTCAAGTCACTTCTGAACCTGAGCCAACATAGGAAGCGTCTCTTTCCGATGAAAGTAAATTGTGCCTTTCATTCAGAAATCAAGGTCCAAGGGCTTTGAGGAAGAAGGGTGAGGAAAATAACCCATACTACTTGAGGTCCAGTGTGAAATATCCACAGTCAGTCATGATATGGGATGCAATGTTCGGTGTAGGTGTTGGTAAACTCTGCTTTCTTAAATCCAAGGTCACCGCAACAGTCTTCCTGAATGTTTTAGAAGACTTCATGATTCCTTCTGCTGAGGATCTGTATGGAGAAGCAAATTTCATCTTCCAGCAGGACCTGGCCCCTGCCCATGCCGCCAGAAGCACCAAACCTGGTTTGATGCCCACACCACAGTGCTTGACTGGCCAGCCAACTCTCCGGACCTAAACCCCACTGAGAATCTATGGGGTATTCTCAAGAAGAAAATGAGGGGCACCAGACCCAACAACAAAGAAAAGCTGACAGCAAGCATCAAGGAAATCTGGGCTTCTATAACTCCCAGTCAATGCCACAGGCTGATTGTCTCAATGCCACGTCGCATCGAGGCAGTGATTAATCCATCCATCCATCCATTTTCTTTACCCGCTTATTCCATTTTGGGTCACGGGGGTCGCTGGTACCCTTGTCCAGCAATCACTGTGCGAGGGGCGGGGTACACCCTGGACGGGTCGCAAGTCCATCACAGGGCCACATAGAGACAAACGAGACAAACAACCATTCACTCTCTCATTCACACCTAGGGACACTTTAGAGTTACCAATCAGCCTAACATGCATGTTTTTGGTCTGTGGAAGGAAACCGGAGTACCCGGAGAAAACCCACGCATGCACGGAGAGAACATGCAAACTCCACCCAGAAAGGCCCCTGGACCGGGGTTTTGAACCAAGGACCTGCTCGCTGAGAGGCAGCAGATCTACCAGTTGCACCACCGTGCTGCCCT